AGTTCCCTGGGGACTTTCTCCACTCAAATCTTTTCTCATCTCCTCCCACCAGGCAACATCCATGGCTCTGATGTCTAGTTCCTTAGATTAAGAAATCAAATGTAAAGGTTTTAAGAAATAAAACTGAATACAGGCAACTTTGCCTGCAGCACTTAAGGGTGTTTGTGGGAACCTTCCTCCCTCTTTGGGAAAGCAAGTGCAACATCTGGGCAACCTTCCGGGAAGGCACTCTTAGCCCCAGTACGGGCGCATTTAAGGATTTGCATTTATAGGAGATGAATGCCAGCTATGATTCTTTAATATGTGATAGTAAAAGAAGCTCTTCTTTCTGGAACATAAAGTGGCTTTCTCCAAAATATCTGCCTTGCTGGTTCTTTCTGGATCCGAACGTTCTTCAGGATAGCTGCCGTTGTTTCTATGGGAAGAACTGCTTGAGCACATAGAAGTGAGCTCACAGACACTATTTCCACTGAATGCTTTTCCTAGTTTTGATAACCTGCCTTCTGTAAAGACTAATCTGAACACAGTTCCTTAGATGCCTCCAGACAAACTCATAGGACAGTGGCAGCTAAAAAGGTAACAGTCTTAAGCCATTTAATGAGCCAGGAAACTGGGCTTTAGAAACTGGAAAATTTTGGTTAAGACTTGCTCAGAGCATCATCTTAAAGCCAAAACATACTGCCAAGTTCCAGATGGAGGCAGTTTTCCACCAGCCACAGGCACGACCAAGTCAGACAGGCTGGTTTCTTTTCCTGCAGGAGTGCAGGCAGCCAGGGCTGGTCATTTTCTCCACAGCAGCTTCATGTCTCCAGACAGTGAGCTAATGTTTGGCACTGGACAGATCCATAAAACAAGGCATTTAATCCCACAAGTGACTGCATGAGAAATAATATGTGTATATGCATACATGTGTGTATGTATATATATATATATATTCACACACATGAAATTACTTAAATCATGTGTGTACATGTATACACACACACACACAAAATACTTAAATCAAGCCAAGTTTTAAAAATTATAAAGAGAATAAAAATTAAGCACATGTAATCAGAACCCTTTGAACAAAGAAGCAATACTGAAAACATAAACTTCCCCGAAAAGGCTAATTTCCAGAAGACATTTTGTTAGTTGAAAAGAATGCTGTGGAATTACAAACAGCTGCCTAAAGCATGCTGTGAGCTTCTCTTCTCTTTACACAATATCACTCCTGAGGATTATCTTGTGTTTCTACAGTTTAGAGAAAACCTTCCCTTTTTTTTTAATTTCTAAAGTTTATTTTAAAACTAGGTCTATGTTAATGTGACAAAGACAACGCAATCGAGAGGGCATTTAGTGGGACGTCTCCTTCCATTGCTGGACCATAGTTCCGTTTACCATGTGCACTCAGAACAGAACAGAACTCAGAAGGGTGCATTTGCATAAAGCCAAATTACATGGTCATTTACTCTTGGATCTAACCAATCCCTTTTCTAATACTCTGTCCGGAAGACACCTGTGCAAAAATACAAAATATTTTATGTAGGCTGTTCATTTCAAAAGACTGGAATGTCTACCAATAATCAGTAAAAATGGTTACCAGTGTAAAGGAAAAAGCAACAGTGGAGAGGAGGGTGGATGACCTTTCTAAAACTTTTTTTTATTAGTTTCCAGTAATTTGGAATAGTATAAATATTTTACATATTTTTAAAGCCCCTTGGAGGTCTCATACTGAAGCTAACCCCACTAGGTGAGAAGGTGATGGGCAGCTATATATAAGGCCAGATAAGGCTGGTACCTCAGCAGGCACTGCTCAGTCCCTGGAAGTGGACAGCCCAGATGCCATGTCCTTCTGGAGTCTGCAGAAGTCTGCAGACTCACTGAAGAAGTCCTTGTATCAAATGAACTAAACCTGAGTCTGATCAAGCCTCCACAGGTAACTGAACATTCACAGGAAGTACGGGGGACAGAGGAACGTATCCAACATGAGAGCAAGCAGCAGCCAAACCTACGAAGTGGCAGAGTCCATGGGACAAATGGCCCCTTTGTAAAACACATGAAAAGGAGAGTGGTAGGTTGTGAGACGATTGGCAAGGAAAGCCAATGCAGTGTGTGCACTTTGCTGGGATCCTAATGTGGCCAAAGCAACATGCAAGACATTTTTGAGATCACAGGGGGAAATGGAACAGTTTGCCTATCAGATATTAAGGCATTATTGTTAATTTTGTTGCATGAAATAGTGTCCATTTGCCTTAGAATACTGTGAGAAAAAATGGAAGTAATGTTAATAATTATAAAAATAATAAAAACTGGAGATAACAATTGTGTAAGTTGATAGTTGCTAAGAATTGGTGATGGGTAGATAAGGATCACTGTCCTATTTTTCTGTTTATTTAAAAATTCCTGTAGCAAGCTAACTACAGAAAGTATAGGGCCCTCCCTGGTGGTGCAACAGTAAGTTAAGCATAGTACTGTAAAGCTTCATAGCTGCTTGATCCCTGGTTAGTGTGAGTTCAACCCCTGGCCAGGGAGGTGACCCACATGGTACAGCAGATCTCTCCTGACCAGCCCACTGCTCACCTCAGCAGTGTACTTCATCAATCTGCCTGTTCTGTTCCCTGCCCTGCTTCTCTCACTGTTACTGCACCTCTGGCCTGTACCCCAATCTGTATGCATAAATAATTAAATCTTTAAAAAGAACAAAAAAATACAGAAAATATTTAAAGGTTAGAAGCAGTTATCTGTCAAATATAGGTTAAGAAAAAATTAGTAAAAACATATGCTCTCATTAAATGAAATTTGAGAACCTGCCAGAATTACAGAGATGTAGTTATAAGGCCTGGGTGAGATTCAAAACTTTGTTGTAAGAGCTGCAGTTAAATATGGTAAGCTGGATATCTAAGCCCTTGAGATATTTTAGATTGGGGAAAACCAGGTAATGCCCTAAGTGAGGCTGTCTTTCACTACAAACCTGCAGGGTTTTCCCAGTCTCTGTTCAAAAGTTTAAATTTAGGAGTGTTTTTTGCATTTAGTTTCTTTGGTACCATAAAAGTCAGGACTAGAAAGAGAATACCTCTTTACATTTTCATATATATCTTTAAAAAAAATCATTTTATTTATACACACAAGAACTGGGGTGTAGGCCAGAGGTTTGGGGTAGGGGGGCTGGGTGAGAGGATTCACCAGAGATAGAGTGGGGAGCAGAAAGGGCAGGTCTACTGAAAGGGTTGAGGGAGCAAAGGGGGAAGGGTTGAATGGAGGGTGGTGGATTACTGGGCTTTGTTGGTGGGTATGGGTGACAGCATACATTTGCAGAAACATGAGCCTACGGCTCTGAAACATATGCGGTGTTGTAGGTTAGTGTTACCTCAATAAACACAATTTAAAAAATTTAAATTACAGCAATACTTTTAAAAGACAAAAATTAAGCTGGGCATATGTAGGGAAGAGCTATTAGAATGGTGAAGTACTTGAGTCCGTGTGTGAGGTAAAAGACAAAAGAATTTATTACAGGAAAAAGCTCAAGGGTAACTAGTTAAGACAAAGATGTGTAACTTCTGTAATTAAGAAATGTATAAGCCTGTGTCCACTCAGCCTTGGGCGTGAATGTGAATAGTGAGTATTATATAGGAGGCATGAGAGGTGGAAACCACCTTCGTTATCCACCAACTGATGATTGCAAACCCAAAACATGATGTATCCATTAGACTAGATATATTTTTTTAAGATTTATTTATTCATGCGTACAAGAACTGTGGTACAGGCCAGAGGTGGGG